GTTTAACTAGATCAGTGATTTATAAACTCATTTCGTTGCAGAATTCTTTTTTCAAATGATTTCTTGTTTAGAACCTTACATATAAAAGGCATCAAAGCAGGACAACTGGGGTGGAAGGGCCCAGATTCAGTTCTTTAGATCTTCCCATTTTCCCAGAACCATCCCCTGAGGTTCCTCCGAAGCACTCAATTAAGACAGTCGGAAAACCACTGGGCTAGATTCCATTCAATTCCAAAAACATATGGGTCAAAGAGGAACCTTCTGCAAAGAAACCAAATTCCACCCAAAGAGTCAAATTTTAATCAGGCAAAGGATTATGTTATGTTGAAGTCAATAGTGAGTGAGACCAAAGCCAGCTATTCAAATTGACTCATCAACAGACTCTTCCTTACCTCAAATTTAATGATTTATATAGTACAGAAGTTTAGTAAAAGAAAAGTCTGGAGCTATAAAGTACTCATGAGACACAAGCTCTGATGCTAGAAAAGTTACTCTAATGTACATATAAATGTCAAATGTGTTGTTAACAATGAGAAAGTAAACCCCAGCTAGTTCTACAAATATCAGCCAGATTGTTTCCTCCAAATTTTGTATTAGTTTCTGATCAGAAACCTCCTAAGGGTTCCTACAATCTTTTAACTAGGCGTGTAGAGAATTTACTAATTCCAAACCCTATAATAGTGCTTCAAAATAAGAGAAAATCATGTCTCTAGGTGTTAGAAGTAGAAATTCATATATGCCTTGTAGAACACAGTCCTGTAATCTGCTTTAGGAACTTACAGTGAGTGAACCTTAAAAGGCTTAATCAATGTCAGCAATATGTCTCCACTGAGTATGAAACCTGGAGAAAACTCCAGGCTGATTCTGATTTTCATTGTCTTAGTGCACACCATGCCCTCTCCTACTTCTGTGCCTTACCTCTTACTGTTCCCCTTCTTCTGCATTGTTGACACCATGTTCCCAACCTACCAAATACAATTCAATTCATCCTTCAAAACCAGTTCAATATATTAAGATATGTGCATCAGAAGAAAAATACTAGACAGAAACAAGTTAAAATATTAACATGGACAGGTTACTTTCTACAGCTCAGTTTTCTCATCTAAAACAGGGGTAATGTCTCTCCCTCAAATAGTTTTTGTTAGGATTAGAAATAGTATCTATTTATATCAAGAGTCTAGCATAGTGCCTGGCACATTGATTCTGATTAATGAGTTCAGGATTTACAGTTTTCATAACTGCTATTTGCCCTTATAACCTTCATGGAGAAAAGGCAACCTACAATGCTATGAGAAGGTAATCTCTAAGACCCCTTTGTACTTTCTCAATGCAAAATTAAGAAGGCCCATAAGATGAACAGCTTTTTCTAATGTCCTAGTCTTCATCACTGCTACTACAAGAATCAAATCCTCTATCTGGAGAATTGGCTGGGCTAAAAAATGACAGAATAAAGGAGTGAGAAGGGAACTGGGGAAGGGGTAAAAGTTTCACTGACATAACTGACCAAGTTAGGCAAGGAAGGAAGTGAAGTCAGGAAGGGGACTGATATCCACAGCCTAGGTGTCCTGGTTTGGCCAAAGAGCAGGGTCAATGGGAGTAAGAGAGTGGAACAAGTGGAAGCATAGGAGGCTCTAATCAGAGAGTAGGTTTTCCAAATGCATATTTCAGAGATAGATTCTGGGTGATGATAAGATTGGGATTGGACACAGGGGCATGAGAGACAATGTGCAGGTTGAAGAAATAGAGAAGATCAAGAAATTATAAGTTCAGAGTACCAGATAGGTCATTTATGCGGACCGGTGATTCTTTACTTGGGGAACTATTGGCCCAGGGGACATGCAGAAAAGTGCAGAAATATTATTGGAGTTTCTCTTCCATACCTTTTTTCTTTTGGGGTTGTCACCATGTCATGAGGTGCTACTAGCATTTGGAAGAAAGTAAGATGATGAACATCCTGCACAAGGAAAATCTGCGTCATTCAAAATGCCAACAGCACCCCCACCGAGAAACACTGAGAAAAGAATGGAGCTAGAAGTTATTCTCCCCAGTGAAGGCAAGGAGTTTGGCCTGGAGGCTGGCACCCCACTGCAATGAAGAAGAGGATGAGAAGAGTATAGTATAGTTAGATGTGAGCCTCAAAGCAAGGGTTTAGTATTTTAGAACAAGGCACAAAAACAAGGGAAGGGAAATAATAGTGGAAATGTAGGAGAATAGCATCCCAGACTCCTGGCCCCAAAACATTTTAGGAAAGAAAAATGTGCAGAAAGGCAGGCAGCCACTACTCAGAGACAGAATACATGTCAAGAGAAAGCCAAGTTCAGCTGAAGAGAGGTGGAGCTAGGGAGGGTGAAAAGGGTAAGAATGTGGAGAAGTTTCTCTGCAGAACAGGGAGTTTCCAAGTCCCATTAATCACATCTCAACACTGTCTCAAATCCTTCACTTCCTTTCCATTCCTGTTGCCCTCCACCCTCAACAGCTTTCACTTGGGTTCTCAAGAAAACCTCATGACTTGTCTCCATGTTATCTCTCAACTTTCCAGTATACCTTTAACTATTGCCAGAAGCATCTTTCTAAAATGCAAATCTGATCATGTCATTCTCCCTGCATGAAAACTTTCAATTGTTTCCATTGTTTATCTAACTAAATCCTAAACTTAGCATGGCATTCGAGGCCTTCCATCTGGCCCTAACTGAACCATACCAGTCCTTTCTCCTTTTTATATTTCTCCATGCCAGACTGCTTACTTTCCTATTCTCTTTATTTATGTTCAGTTTCTACAATCCTTTGCTTGAACCTATCATTCTGCTTTATGTTGAAGTTCCCTGCTTTGAGTTCATAAGTCCATCTCTTCCACTACCAATGCTTCCTAAATTTCCCGGAAGGTAAAAATCACCCTTGATACTTGTTAAAAACACAGATTCCTGGGGTGCATCTCAGACACATAAGAAACTTCAGGGTGGGGGGCACTGGGATGACATAAAGGATGGTTTTAAAACATGTCCAAAAAAATCTTTGATATTCCTCTCATCAAAAAGTAAAGTCAAATTCCTCTCCCTCTGAATATGAGCCAGCATTAGTGATTTCCTTCGAATGAAGAAATGTGGCAAAAATGTATAACTTCTGAGGGCTAGGTCATAAAAGGCAATTCTCTGACCCTGACTCCCTTCCTCCTTTGTTCCCCCTCCGTGTCTGGACACTTGCCCTTGGAACCCAGCCAACCAAGCCGAGCAGCCACATGGAAAAGCCATGTGTAGGTGTTCCGACCAGGGCCCCAACTGAGAGCCCAGATGACTGCCAGCATCAACTGTCTCACTTGTGAGTTCAGTGAGCCTTTAGATAGCTATGGCCCTCCGTCTTTGAGCCACCATGGCTGATGCAAAAGGGAGTGGGGGCAAGTGCTGCCCGCACTGGAGATTTATAAGCAAAATAAACGTTGTCATTATTTTAAGCCATTAAATTTTGAAGATTTTTTTTTTTCGTGCAACATAGATAACTGGAATACCATGTTATTCTTAAAATGAAGTTTGGGGATGTCCTCTACTATATAAATTATACTAAACTATACTGTTAAGTTCCTTGAGGTCAGAGATTATGTCTTAATAGCTTTCCAGATCTCAATCCTCTTTATTTTTTTTCTGAAGTATCTTTATTGATTTTCTTTTTTTGATAAGAACAATACATGTTTGACATATAATTGCAGCAATATAAAATGCATAATGTGGAAGATAAAAGGGCTAGCTAGGTAGTCTCATCCCATCACCACTCTACCTTAAGTGATAACGAAGGTCAGCTGTTTGGAAGGGCAGAGTTTTCCACATGACAAGTGCTTGATGGAATTGTTATTGAAGAAAAGATGACACTGTAGATTACAGAAACTGCTTACTGGTAATCGACTGTATCTTAGATACAGCTCCCAGAATCACTGTCTTCAAATCGTTACTATCTTCCTTCTTTTAAATGTATTGCAGCTTCCTATTAATTAACAAATTCTACTAGCAAGGTAAACCTACCACTTGCCCTAAGCGCCTCCCCACCATGGTATCTCTATTTGAGTGAAGTCAGTGTATTTACTATTGTGGTATATTATTTACATACACCATTCCTTCAACATTTGTTGAGTGTCTACTATGTTCCAGTCACCGTGCTACACACTAGGGATACAAAATAAGTAGGAAAGGGGCTCTCATATCGAAGAACTCATGGTCTAGAGCAGGGATCGGCAATCTTTTTCTTACAGGGCCAGATAGTAAATATTTTAGACTTTGAGGGCCATATGGTCTCTGTAGCAACTCTGCTGTTGTAGCATGAAAGCAGCCACAGACAATACACAAATGGACATGGCTGTGTTCCAGTAAACCTTTATTTACTAAAACGTAGCCAGAGGGCTGTAACATTACAAAGTTTGCAATGTTCAACAAAACTTTATGCAACGGTGAAATGTTTCTGTGATATCCAATATGGTAGCCACCTCTAGCTAGCTATGTGTAGCTTTTAGACACTTGAATTGTGGCTAGTGAAGCTGATTAATTGAATTTCAAATATTTAATTTTAATTAAATTTAAATAGCCGTATATGTAATGGCTACCATATTGGACAATGCAGGTAGAGAGTATACTTTACATTCCCTTTAACTAAATCAAAACCTGCCTCAAAACTCATCTCAGTCAAGAAGCTTTCCCAACTAGCTTCTGCCCACTCTCTCTCTTATTCTGTATCTACTTCTCACTCCTCTTCCTTTTGGACTTGCTGGCATTTTGCTTAATAATTATGTATTTTATAGTTATCTTTTGTATTTGCAACTAAACAAAAATTCAAAGACAGAAAATGTATCTCCTGATTATTATCATCCTCCTCCTCCACAGTGCCATACAAGGTCCTTAAAATTCAGAAGGTGCTCCATAAAGCCGTTTTACATCATCTACTTCCTTTACTAATTTCTCTGACAGGTGGCAATGTTTACTCGAGACAGATGGTCCTTTTGGATCAGAATGAGCACTTACTTGGAGAATATTTCTACGATAGCCGATGACTTGTTCTTGTTGACAAGAGAAAGTTCTTTGGCTGTTACCCTCAATGACAGTGAAGTCCATTGCTGTCTATTAAATGGAGTTGATTCCATCTTGTCTATAGATACTGAAATACCTATGTAATAAAGAAAGTCAGAATATTAGACACAGAAAAGGATTCTCTAGCATCCAAGCACTGGCAGTGGTGTCGTGTAAGTGAGAGAGCAGAGCCCTAGATCAGCAGACCACACTCCTCTACCAGTTCTCTCAAAAACTGTAATCTTGGTTGCATGATTCAATACCTTTGGGTTGTAGTTTCCTGTAAAATGAGAAGGTTAGAACAGATGATCTGTAAGGTCCCTTCCAGTTCCATCATTTTATGACTGACCCTACTGTGCAAACATCAATCGACCTTTCCTTGAACTTAAGTCTGTTCCAGTCACATTTGAAGTGAAATGTTCCACTCTTCTGAGTTACATCCCAGGGGAGGTACAATCAGCATCTCTGTAGACTCAGGTCCAAATTAGGTTCTACCTACGTCCAAGTTTCTTTTGGCTGCCTTCTCTCCCCAAGCTCTGTAGCACTGACATCTTATTGTTGTGAAGACAGTTGGGGACACAGCATGAGATAATATAAAGAGTGAGGGCTTTAAGATAAGGTAGACTTTAGTTGAAATCATAACTTTGTTACCTTGAACAAATCTTATTATCTTTTCAGTTTTAGTTTCTTCAGCTGGAAAATGAGAATAACACCTATCTTTATAAAAGTTTTGATGTGAATTTAAGGAGATAATATATTTAAAATACTAGGTATGTTACAATAGTATTAAGAGGATTTAAGTATATTAGTATTGTCTTTTGTTATAATTTTTACTATTTTAAAGCCTTTTAACATTTTGGGGAAGTATAATGAACTTTAAATTCAGGAGAATAAAACCTCTGTACTTAAGTGCTTTCCTAAAATACCTTCTGTATTAACCAATGTTACCCCAATAAACTTAATTAAAAAAAATTTTTTTTAATAAAAAATAAAAAAATCAAATCAAATCCCTTCAAGTCAAAGACTGCATAAAGCCATGCCCTTGACATAACCTAGTCCCTATCCTGGATTGTTTATTTTTTGCCCCAAGTAATTACCAAAGAAGTTCTAACATTCGGCCAAAAGAGGTGAGATTAGAAATGAGTCAATAGTTTCCTTATGTGAAGAGTGAAAAATATCGATGAAAGTACTACTTGTAGTTCTCTTGACAACCACAGAGCATAAATGATCAGGTAGAAGCAGGTCCTGCTTTCAACAGCCTTGACAACAGCAGAACACATGGTGTGTTACGCAAGCAACCTGGGCTTCCATTTCACACTAAAAGTCCTGTGATGCAAAGTGAGTTATAAGCAATCCTAAAGGATGACACTACTTTCCCACATGTAGTACTTGTTCTTCCAACTAAAGCCTTATCTAAAAACAATACTGGTTTTGTTATTTTTGTTTGTTTGTTTTAATCCCCAAGTTGGAAGGTAACATAGAACCCTCTAATGGTAAGGAGCTCTGGCATTAGAGACAGATGCATCTAAGTGGGAGTGTTGGCCCCATCACTTGAAGCTGTGTGCTCATCCCTAAAATTTAGATTTCTTACTCATAATAATAGTACTTACTTCATAGTATCTTTGTGACGATAAATAATATAAAAAAGAAAAGACCTTGACATAGAATAAGTAAGCAATGAACGTTTTTTATCTCTTCTTCCTGGATAAAATAACATTAATTCTGTACATGTTCTGTGAAATAAATCTGAATGTAACAAATAATATATGATATTTCTCTATTTGCTTTCCAGTTTGTAACTGACAAACCCACTGAACATGGTCGGCCTTTTCTTTAACAAGAAAAAGATACTGAAACAACAAACAATTCATCTAAACTTAATTATGTAAAACCACACTAATCACCCTTTTAGCCTAGTTTAGGAAATACTGACCAACACTTTAAGACATTATTTGGTACAAGTACGCTTCCAGTATAGGTGTGAGTATAAATGTCAGTTCTTCTACAATTCTGAATCAAAGGAAGAAAAAACAGAAGATATGTTCTCAAATTTATTCATAAAAAAAGATAAGCATACATTTTTGGGGGACGGAGTGTGAGAAAGAAAAGAGTTTAATTCCAAAGTCTTATTCCATGGTCTTGATTACTCTTGGCCAGAAAGTTAAGAAAAGTTATCACATCTATCTTGGTATAAATAAGGCTAGGGGAAGCACACTTTATACTTGAGGAATGAGGGGCTCATACTCTGACCACACTTCTCTTCACAGAAGCATACTATTATTTCTTAGCAATGTGATTAGTACCCTATGAAACAGAAAAGGTAAAAATCACCTGGTACCAGGTTACTGAGTAACTGTTTCCCACAGGGTATATAGAGTAACTGTTTTCCACAGGGTATACAAATAATGTGCATGATCTACTGGGCTTGCTAACCTGTACACAAATAATTACAGCAGACAGCAGAATGTAGTTAGAGGCAATGCATGGTCTAGGAGTGCATGACCTGATTTTCTGGCTTGGTGGGCAGGAAGGGAAAAGATATCAAATTGACTTAGGATTTAGGAATGGGCAGAATTTCAACGAGTGAAGGGAGGAGGAGGAAAGTGCATCTCAGGTAAGGGGAACAACATTATACCGTTACAGAGGTGAAATAGCACAGGAGACTTCAATGGTGTTAGACTCTAGGTGCAAGAGAAGTTGAAAATAAGCTATGGAAAGATAGAATGGGAAGAGCCGTAAAACCTATGCTAAGGAGTTTGGGCCATATTCCAATAGTGGAGAGAACTAACCTGTGAGTGAGCTGAGATGAGGTCTAGTCTTAAGGTGACAATGTCTATCACATGTGAGACCTTTATGGTAAATGAAAAAATAATTTCCCTGAGCCTCAATATACACATTTGTAAGAACAGAACAACTCTGTAGTGGATTACTCACAGTCTCTGTGTTGGAACACAGAAAGTTTCTGAAAAAGCAAGAAACATAATAAGAGTAATGTTTTAAAAGAGGATTCTGTAGCAGTGTGTAACCTGACAACAGGGGAGAAGACTAAAGTCTAACTCACTAATCCAGAAGATCTTAAAACTGTCTAAGTGAGAGGTAATCGAGGTTTAAATTAGAATAGGTGGGAATAGAAAGGTGGAAAGAGAAGTGACAGTTCTTAGAATAAAATAGACTTAGGAATTAAAGATGGAATCATCAAACTTAAATAATGGTGAATACTTATGCCATTAATGGAGAGTAAATACAGGAAGAAGAGGAAGAATGATGAGTTTTACTTTATATATAGAGATATACACATCAGCTATAAAAACGCTAGTGATATACAACAGGAAGCTAGAAATTCAAGACTAAGGTTAAAAATCAGACTCTTGCAGGAAAATGAACATTTTAAAACATCTACTTATGTGAAGTACATATCTCACATAAACCGCTTGTAAAATCGCTTTACAATATTGGTTTTATTATCATATTTATGATCAAGAAACTGAGATTCAGAGATTTAAATAACTTTACAATGATGACTTGGCTATACAGTAGCAGGGCTGGGATTGAAATCCATTTTCTGTTTGATTCCAAAGTCAATTTTCTTTCCACTACAAGTAATGAATCATGATTAAAACTATCACTTTAAGCCAAACTAGAAAATTGGGTAGCAAAATCTCTGAAACCTCTAGCTGCAAACTCATATAAATTATCTTTCAGTAAGAGTATAGTGGCAAGCGTCTTCCCAGAATGATGCACATCAGAGATAATCATTTGTTCTTTCAGAGATACTTAGTTACCTTGGGCCTGCTTGAAATACTCTTCATTGTATCTTGACTTTTGTGGGCTTTCATTAAAGCTGTGATATTTCCCCCACTTACCTGCTCTCAAATGAGAGTCCCATATTCAGACTTAAGGACAATGTCCTTAACCTTAGAAATCCTGTTAAGAGTGAAACAGGCATGTACCAATACCTGGGAAGACCCACCCAGAAGGAGATATTCAATCTGAGCTGCTACAGTATCCTTGAATATATTATTTCCAGAGGCCCTGTAGACTTTAAGATCTGATCCATTGCACTGCCATATACAAATAATAACAGCAGCTATCACTTATTGGGCACTTAACTCAACATCATTGCAATCCTGGAGATGGACTAGTAGAATTTCCATTTTTAAAAATATGGCTCATTGAGGTTTAATAATTTGCCTAAGGTCACGTAGCTAATATACGTTCAAGGCAGAACCCAGTATTTCAGACTGTGGATGAAAAAAGGGTTCTGGGGAAAGTAACCTCACTGGGTGATCGGACCAAAAATTCCTAACTGGGCAGGTCATGCTGGGTAATTATGCCCCAGGCCTAACATCTTTACTAAAAGGTTTTTAAACAAGCCCTGTTCATTGTTCTTGTGCATCTAGGTTAACACACCTTGCAACACCATAAGTAATACCTTTCCAAGGGGTAACCATAGGGTAACCATCATCCTCAAGAGAGCACATAACCTTAACTATCCTGTAATCCAATTACCACCTTGCTTTCTCCCACCTTCCTGTTATCTTCCTTATGTTTCAAATACATAAAGAAACTGCAAAACTGTTATTCTCTGGAGCATTTGAGATTTTGCTTCATGGCAATTGTCATCGGTTTGGCTCAAATGCACTCTTACAAAAGTGCTCTACAGGTTTGGACGTTTCTTACACTGACAAGATTCTAAACCTAACCTCTTAGGTCATATTTATTCTACTACCACTTCAACTGTGAAGGAAGAACTGCTGGAATGTTTAACAGTTGTGTGCAAGAGTTTAAGGAAATGGATATAACAAAAAGCCTCAGAGACTATAAGGACGATGGTATAACAAGTACAAAAGAGATACAAAGAAAGGGAAATCATTTGCTAAAAGGAAGATGTTTTTGGCTTTAGATACGCATGGCAGATTTTTAAGAGAGCAGCTTAGAAATCAAGTAATCAAATCCCTTTTTACAGTAAGGGAACTGAGCCACATAAAGTCCAGTAATTTCTCAAACTCACTAGCTAGTTAGCATGAGAGCCAGAGTTCTAGTTCTCCGTTCAAAGTTCTTTTTATTATACTAGGTAGCTCCTATGGGTGAGCTGTA